GTGAAAGAGTATGTTCAGAATACTTAAGTGAAAGAGTATGTTCAGAATACTTAAGTGAAAGAGTATGTTCAGAATACTTAAGTGAAAGAGTATGTTCAGAGTACTTAAGTGAATGAGTATTCCAGAATACTTAAGTGAAAGAGTATGTTCAGAATACTTAAGTGAAAGAGTATATTCAGAATACTTAAGTGAAAGAGTATGTTCAGAATACTTAAGGGAAAGAGTATGTTCAGAATACTTAAGTGAAAGAGTATGTTCAGAATACTTAAGTGAAAGAGTATGTTCAGAATACTTAAGTGAAAGAGTATGTTCAGAATACTTAAGTGAAAGAGTATGTTCAGAATACTTAAGTGAAAGAGTATTCCAGAATACTTAAGTGAAAGAGTATGTTCAGAATACTTAAGTGAAAGAGTATGTTCAGAATACTTAAGGGAAAGAGTATGTTCAGAATACTTAAGTGAAAGAGTATGTTCAGAATACTTAAGTGAAAGTGTATGTTCAGAATACTGAAGTGAAAGGTTATGGTCACAATACTGAAGTGAAGCATATGGTCAGAATATTGAAGTGAAAGCGTATGCTCAGAATATTGAAGTGAAAGCGTATGCTCAGAATATTGAAGTGAAAGCGTATGCTCAGAATATTGAAGTGAAAGAGTGTGAATGAGAATGAAGCAGTTCCTGTCATGACGTTATGTTTAAGATATAATGTTTAGTTGATCTCTATAGTCAGGTAGTTTGCACCTTCAGCCCAGTTATCCCCACAATATCTAAAGCTCTTGGTAATGAATTGTTTTTGTTGTATCAGGAACAGGCACATGTGACCAAACCGTTAAAGGTTTGAAGATTCAGCTGCATATTTGAAAGTTTGATTGCAAAAGCCATTCAATGAATCTAAAACTGACATCCCAAGTCAGTATTATTGCTTGTTATTCCAAAAGCTCATAAAGTCATAAATTCTTAACAGCAAATTTATCTCGGCTTCAAACACATCTAATTTGTTTTTCAAAATCTATGAAGGTCTTGTATGAATTTCAGAGAGAAAGCCTGGCACTTGTCAGCTGTGTCTTCAATAAGAGAACATGGCCAATACAAATCTTTCATTTTATAGAGATTTGACAAGTAAAATGGTTGGCATTTAATATGTTCAGTTTCATGTAAACAAAGTCTTGGGTGATCCCTTGTGCTATATCTATGGCCAGGTCCATGATATAAGCTCTTGTATAAGTACTTAGGCCTAAAAAAAAAAGGCTTGTGGTTCCGATTTCCCGACCGACCCTAAATATTCCCACCGAGCCTAACAATTTTACTCACCACATAATAAATTAAATTTATTTTCTGACACATAAGTAATGTAAAAATATTTTGCAGAAAAAAAATTAAGACCTACCTACCTACCCTAGTTCTGAAATGTAGGAAATCGGAACCACAACATTTATTTTTTTTGGCCTTAAATGAAGATGGCATTACAACAATTATTGCAGTATATTTTCTCTGGTAATATCCCCTCAATCAATACCTTTTGTTTTCATGGTATCCTCCAATTACCCCTACATCCAATTACCCCTACAGCTTATAACAACAAAGTTCACGGTCCAATGCACTGTTAATCCCCTTCCTGTTACCTGTTACCTGGACAATGGACTAGCCCAAACACATGAACGCAAGATTTAATGTTTTCATTTATGGATTTAATTACACAAATAAATGAATATAATACACAGATATCTTCCTGGTCGTGACATGAATATGAGCAGCAGGTCATGTTAACTTTTTAATGTTAATTTTTGTCTCTATCCCAATTTGGCCCACAGCGTCAAGGAACTGCATTGGTAGATGTTGGGGTGTCGATGTGGGAGTCCCCGGTTCAGGCGGTTGTGGAATCCCTCTAGGTTGTTGTTTGTCCTTGGACCTGTTGTTGAGTGATGGTTCCACAGTGGCAGATGGAATCTTGCGTCGTCTTGGACCCAGGTAGTCACCATGTAATCCGACTGTGTGTGACTCTGCCTCTGCAAGTTGACTGGACACACTTCCAGTGTACACAAGACTGTCTCTCGACATTCTTAGTGTGGAGATAACCCTCAAATAGGACTTGGGTGCTTGGGTGCGAAGACCAGCCATGTTGATGTCATGTTAGCATAGTATATAAATGTTGGAAACAAACTAAGTCATCTCAAATTACTTGTCTCATCTCAGTGTCAATTTCAACATTTACTTCATTTCATCTTAACAAACTTTCTCTAACCAAGAACACCTTAATCCTTTCTAATTTGTATACACAACACTTTACTATACTAAGTCATCTCAAATTACTTGTCTCACCTCAGTGTCAATTTCAACATTTACTTCATTTCATCTTAACAAACTTTCTCTAACCAAGAACACCTTAATCCTTTCTAATTTGTATACACAACACTTTAATCGCTCCCATGGGTAAGTTCATTATGCCAGACAGGTAAATGCTGTGTGTTGTTTTAACTAATTGTAGGGGTACTGGGATGTAGGGGTAATGGGATACAACCGTTTTCATATTCACAATTTCAATTGATAAATCATCATTCATCAATATATCTGTCATTTAAAACTTCATGTAAGACTGAATTCATTTTGCTTTTCCTCGTCTTGTATGTGTGATCTTCAGTGACCCATGCTTATCGTAAGAGGTGACTTTTGGGATCGGGTGGTCAGGCTCACTGACATGGTTGACACATGCCACATGGTTGCATAGATCGATGCTCATGTTGTTTATCACTGGATTGTCTGGTCCAGGCTCGATTATTATTATTTTACAGAACGCAGCCACATAACTGGAATATTACTGAATGCAGCATAAAACTAAACTCACTCACTCATTGTATGTATGCATATTTGATGTATTTGTATAAATATTTTTAGTAGCAATGTTTTGTATGGCCACTGTATTTTAATGGAATGTATTGGGAAAAGTATCATCTTAACTTATCTTATCTGAACATATCAAATCTACTACCAGAGAGAGATGAAATCTTGTCATTAATGTATCATCATACTTGCATATGTGCCTTTCAGTCATACTCTTTAGCATGACTTGCTTGATAATGATGTTAGAACCCACACAAAAGCATCTTAATTGTCGTAAAGAAGTTGTTCATTCATATATGTTAACCATCCTTCCTAAGATCAATTAACACCAGAGTTTGGTAAAATTGTCAGTTTTCCAACTCATAAACTAGCTGGTAGAGTGCGTCTTGTAAAATTTTGTTTACTCAAGTCTGCTTTACCAAGAAAGTCCATGTATTACCACAACGATGTCTACTGAACCTGATCCCAAGGAAAACTTGGGCTTGTAGAGAAGAAAATAAGGTTTTAACAAAGACTCACAACAAATTCTTCAGTCCCTGCCAAAGTTTTGACAGTGTCTGTTTTTTACAAAAGGAGGAGCTTTATCAGGTTGTGGTTTAAGTCCGATAATTAACACTGCACTTCATCTGTTAAACAACAACATTAATTTCTAAAATAAATAATATGAAATAATATGTATTTACTAATAATCTTGTCATATTTGATAGTTAAAGTTTTTATACTGCCGGACATTCTAATTTAAGGAGTAGACAGCGTCTGTGGTGTTGAAACAGTTTGTGTAAATTATGTATTCCAGGGACGTTCATGAATAATAGCGAATGTCTTGAACTGCTGGCTAAATTGAAAGTAATGAAATGACTTTATAAGAGTGACTCTCTTCACGTCAATATTTATTTAGAGCCTCATGATGGTGGGTCCAGACCTCATCAGAAAATACGCCTCTGTGGTAACCGCCCGTCATCGATTTTGGTGACTGCAACAGTAATTTCTGTTTAATCTACCCATCTGCCTTTGTGGTGGACATACACAGACTGATAAATGAATTAGATGTATTGTTTTCATTGGTGGAGCCATCAGGAGGGCTTGTTTTTTCAAGGACTCTGTTCCATTGGTTTTGTCCCGAAATTGAATTGGTTCACGTGACACTTGATGTTTGGCCTTGGAAATGGATAGAGACAGCGTGTTCTAGATCTAGATGCATACAAGAAGGACCATCCACTGACAAATCTTTAAATTATTGATCTGACTGCACCATTGGTTACCAAGATGTAATAAGGATGACATATTTGCTTCATATTTCGATCGATTTAGGAAAGCGATATGTACACAGAAACATGTTCATTTCACAAATTGAGTTGTTTGATGCTGAAAGTGTTTTTGTCAATTATATTAGCATTTGCGGGGTGTGTATATCTGAAGGATGCATGATGGCTGATGATGATGATGAGGAGTATCATTTCTCAGTGTCTGCAATAAGAGCTCTATCCAAGGGAGAAAATTATATTTTGTCCATGCTTCTGTGGTCATGCAGAAAAAATGAAAGGAAGCTATCAATGTCTGTGTTTTATTCTGATTAGCAGTGATGTAATTATTTCCAGTGTTCACAATGTCATTTAGAAAGTGGTCAAATATAACTACTGTCATATTTAGGATTACACTTTTTCAGTAAAGTACAGGTTCTAGTACTAAAGTTGGGTTGAGTCCTATCTGGGATTCGAACCCACACCCTCAGTCACCAGCACACAAAGTCAGCTGGTTAACCCATGGAAGGCAGTGGTGGCTGAATGGATTAGGCGGCTGGCGATTGACTCTGAGGGTGTGGGTTCGAATCCCGGATAGGACTCAACCCAACAAAAGTACTAGTATTTGTTCTTTACTGAGAGCGATCGCCTCCATGGTGTAGTGGTTAGAGCGTCCGCCTGGAGAGCAGAAGGTCGCGGGTTCGATCCCCGGTCGCGTCATACCAAAAGACGTTAAAATGTGGTACTTGTTGGTCTCTGTCTGGCGCTCGGCATTAGGCAACAAGGACTGGTCGGTTAGTATAATACTATAACATTTGTTCCTTTTTCAGTGTTGGTTGAATGGAATTGAGTAATTGATTGTATTTGTTTGTTGTGGATATTATAATGTACACCCATGTAACCTCTGTGTTCTTTGTTTCAGTATGAGCTGTTGTTCTGTGTTCAAGATGAGATGGATGCAGCTTTAATGATTGTACAGAGTCTAATACAGAAATACCCTAAAGTAGATGCTAAATTATTTATAGGTAAGTCACTTATCTTTTTAGATTTTTAGATTGTGAAAAACAAAACTGTTGAAGAAATGTTTCAGCTGACTAGTAATGATGATTGATTGGGTGGAACCAACCAACTGTGACCTATGTTTACTTAGATCAACCGATATCTACACAAAGTACAAGATCCTCCCCATGCTAGTACATGTGTCCTGAGATTACACACGATGTAGTCAGCATCGATTTTCATTGGTTTAAGCATGACTATATAATTCATGAAGGATGTCACCATTCATTTTTCAACTTTCCTGCTACGTCTGCAAAAACATTTTCATTTCCCAGACACTAACAGATAAGCTTGCCTGCAAAAGCAGTGCTTGACATTTGAACACACATGCAAATATGGACAAAAATAATCCCCCAAAAATCAATTCAAAATATCCACAAGAGATGTCATTTCATTTCAAATATAATATTTTGAAATCACTTTTCCAACTTGATGTTTCCAATCACATTCTAAATCACTATTTGAAAGCTAAGCAATACAGGAAAAGCAATATGAAAAACATAGGGCCTTTTTGTTTGTTATTTCAGTATTAATGTGGTCAAATTACAAGTAGATTGTGCAGTAGGGTTGAAAGTATATGAAAAGCCTGAGGCTACGCCAGCAACCCAATACCCATGCTGTGTGTGAAAGTCCATTAGCAAGGGTTGTATAATGAGGGTGTGGCCTGCTATTGTTAGCTAGGGGTGAACGTCAGGTGAATGGGGGCTGGGACTGTTTCTTCATTTTTCTGAAAACTGATTTCTTAAACCACATGAAAAATGTTAAAGAGCACCTAAATTCATATTGTGAAGTTAATCTGGCATGGCTTGGCAGGTTAATAATAGTAATATGAAAGAATTGGGTGTTGTTTTCATTCTATTTAGTAGTACACATGGGAATGAGTCCCGCAGGTCTGGGTTTGAACCTCAGATGTGTTTTCTTGTTGATCCATGGTCTGTGACCACCACACCCATGCTCTTGTGTTCCATCAGACTGGTCAGTGTGGGATTTCACTGGTCCAATTTTTACAGTTTACCATAGGCCAGGCCAATTTTATTTCTTGTTTAACAGATTTTTGTCCTCAGAAAACTAAAGGCGGGAGGGAAAAAATATATCTATATAAAAAATCACCAGTTAATGCAATAGTCCTTTTAGATACTAAAAGTACTTTACTTTTGGCAATTTATTAAGTGTATATGGGGCAAAAAAACAATGTAAAAACACTTTTCTTGGTTTTCATTTTTGGCCAGTAAAAACATTTGGATTATATTTTTTTGAGCGGGTAGAAATGTAATTTATTATTTTTTCTTATTCTTGAAAAAATAAGACCGATGGATCCGTAAAACAAGCAATAAAATAGGTCTGACCTTAGGGTGAAAGTGATAGTCAACATGAAAATATTGGATGTCTTCCTTGTATTACCGAACGTCACGCCTTTCTCCATGTTGATCCTGTTTGTCCTGATGTTTGATACTGTAGTGTTTGAATCTAAGGACCCCTCAATCTGTAAATTTTAACATTAGGTTTCAGACCTGGGCCCTTTACCTTTCCTACTTCACAATGAACACTGCACAGACAAACTTGTTCATTTAGAAGCCTTTTGGTAGATGTCTTCCTCTCAGGTTACTGATTTCCCCATGTTTAACTGAAAACTGAGGCCGTGTTTTATGAGTATAATGGTAATTTTTTCTGTCATGTTACCTTGGAACCTTGAATAAAATGTCAACAGACTTCAGCGTTAGAAAGATTCTTTCAGTAAATGATACTCTTTGAAAAGGTTATTGAATCAATACTTCTGAAAAGATTCATACAACATTCTCATTTAATCTATGTATTACAGAAATATTATTGCAGTCATCACAGTAGTTGAAAGTAGCATATAATATCCTGTTTACAAACATGCATTTCCTAATAGGATTTTCCATGAAAACCTATTGTGCAAAACATTATGAACCGTTTATGGTATTCACATTGATAGGTGTATCTATCATTGGTATACATGTTGTTAATAATATATAGTAATATGATAATATTGATGACTCTATTGGATTCCTGTAATAACCGCTTGATGTCACTAACTCTGTTGTGATGTTACTATTGAGTTGCTGTGTTTTGAGTATGGTCACCATAGATGTAATCTCTGCTTATCTGAAATCAGCTTACTCTTTTTTGTTTTGGGTTGTTGTATGTACTGCTTGATTTATTGGTGAAGAACTGTTGACACTCTCATAGCAACTAGTGTGCTTGTATACCGAGTACAAGGTCACGGTCATGGGAAAAACACATCATTTCCAGAGACTTGTTTATTGAGTTTATGTCATTCTTAGTGCATATCAAAGATAACTTAGCTTTGAGTCAACCACTGCTTAAAAGAAATAAATTCATGACCAGGTGTTTGGGAGTCGGGATTGTTGGAATGATTTGTCAGATTCTAAGCTCCTTTGCTCTTGTAATTTTAATAAGTGGCTGAATATGTGAATTTTACTGTGAGTTTATGTTGTAGCCTGTTTTTCAGGCTTCATTCATCATCCATCATAACTGGTCCAGTTCAACTGTCTTCATATGCTTTGCTTTGATGATGCTCCAAATCATCCAAGAGGTTCTGATTCTAATTTTCAACATGGCTGCCGTTGCATTTTGTTTTTGGGACATGGGTTTCTTTTGGTTTAGGGTTTGTTTGTTTTGGGGGTGATTTTACCTTTTGACCTTGCTTTGATCTTTCCACCTCGACCATACTACAATTTGAAACCCTTTATGACCATTACAGTTTGTTTGGGTTTTTAAAAGTTTGACTTAAATTTCTTACATATGTTGTTGTAAGTGGTGCTGACATGTGTTGTTTTTAGTTGTATTTTAAGAATTGGTAAGTGTTAACATCATCTCAGAAACCACTAGACAATGAACATGCTTGATTAGATCAATGGTGACATCCCGATAAAACTGTACTTGTAAAACCTTTTGTACTATTGTTCTGATGGCCTTCATGCAGATAAAACTGTCTGTCTGTCTGTCTGTCTGTTCTGTGTGTGTGTTCAAAAGGTTCAAACCCGATCAGTAAGAGTAACCAAACTGAAAATCAATTTATAGCTGTTACTCAGACCTTTTTGTTTGCAACTGTTCCATGTCCATTTTTAAAAGAATATTTGAAATCATTACCTTGTATGACTATGGTCTTAAACAGACACATTTGGATCAGGGAGCTGAAGTTTAGATGTGTTCCTCCATATGGAGACATCAGTTTTGGTTCAGATTATTAAATTTTAGTTTTTAGTGTACCTGACTCTGAGGGTGTGGGTTCGAATCCCAGATGGGACTCTACCCAACAAAAGTACTAGATTCTGTACTTTGCTGAGAAAGTGTAATTCCAAATATAACATGTGTTAAGTTTTTAGTCACTAATATTAATGCATCAAATCTTTGAAAATCAATGCCGATGTCATTTCTTAAAATCTGCCTGTTTGACCATTTTCATTGCTAACTACATATGCGAGACTACATAGGTGAACTACATTTCCATGGCTGTATTTTATTTAATTCATTTTCCTGAAGAGATGCATGTTTTTTTCGGAGCCTTCAAGTTCCGTTATCAAAGGAAAGTCATGACTGTTCATACATCAGAGAGTTTTGTTAATTAGATGGTATGTGTTCGTGTAAAAAAAGAATTGCAGATGAGGTTGAACGTAAAGTTTTAAAGGTCACCAGGCCTTCTATCGAGTTCCCTATTATCCATTGACAGTAATCCGACTACTGATACAGAACATGTTTAATTAAACCAGGTTTGGCATTCAAGATGTTTACACCCTGGTAATCTACAGTTTCCAAAGTCAGGAGAAGCAAATCAGCTTTTTGTGACTTTGGAAGGACTTATTGTTCCTGCCCTGAAGGCAGGAAAGTATTTGGTTAATTTGTATTTCTCTGATGGGTAGCACCATTTTGGTTTGTCCAAAACTTGGAGTGTGTAAAATGAAGTGAGAGTTATTTAATCTGCACATTTTAACACATTGTCGATCACATTCATATGTTCCTTAATGTAATTTTGACATGTTTTATGATTTAGCATGATTGTATGTAAATCAAATGTTACGAGAAAATATGCCTATTTACCATGTTCATATCGTGTTAGTCTGTCTCACAGTCCCTGAACCACATTAATTTCCCTACTGCCAAGCCCTCTCTGCAGTGCTAAAGCCCTAAATAAAGCAAGTCTAGATTTCCTCAGGTTCTGAATCTCTGGTCTCCCTAGGGCTCCTTTTCAATATAAATGGGCTTGTTTGTTACTATCAAAATTATATATATTCAGAGACTAAGCCTTAGTCTAATATCGTGTATGAATATAGTATTGGGCATTGACTGATTATCTCTATTGGCTGGCCTTTATCCCCATACTGTTATCTCGTATTGCCCTTGCAGCATCATATCTCATTCAAGTTGTAAGCTGTTTTGGGAGTCAGTGATTATCTCCCTCATCCAAATAGCTCTACTCTTGCTCTGTATCATATGTTATTCAGGTAGCAAGGAAGGCATAATACTGCCAGTTAAAACCTTTCTGCATCCTCATCAGCTTCCCACTTCATGTTCAAAACATTACATTCTTCTGCCACATAGATAAGGGTCATGTGGCCTTCAGCCCCTCAGCTGGTGCCTGTGGACATTACTCTAACATCCTAATCAGGATAGCTTTGAAATTCCCAAAATACATAATACTTTCTTTCTGTATATGAGGATTCCAGCACCTGTCTGGCCACATGACCAGCAGACTGGGACTGTTAAATGTTGAAATGGAAATGAAACGGAAAAAGATAATGTTTATTTTTGCAAACTTGCATATTTATTTTTGTTGAATCTATGTTTATATAGTTTTATTTTATGATTTTTCATGCAGAATCATGATGTCACATATGTTAGATTCTTCCATATAGTAACAGTTGGGAAACTACTCTCTAATGTCATACTTATGTCACTGTGTTGATATTTCGGTTGGTTGCAGTGGCGCCAGCTTGCTAATGCTCAAAGAGTCTACATCGAAACCTTGCTATATATGTAATAAACCAGAAGTGTTTATCCATTAAATTGAACCTCATTATGCTTTCATTCTTTTGGATGTACATCGTTTGACTTATTATCAAACAAAAAGTTGCATATTAACATACAAATTCAAATTCTGCTTCATGATGCAATTTATGGGTTCTGTTACTTACATGTTTATTTCAACTTTGATTTATTTTTTTTTTTCATTGCATCAGTTCATTCAAAAGGGAAAAAATTTCCACTTCTAAAAATATCCTTTTCGTCACTAATGCTCTCTCATTCACCTATACCAAGATGTTGTTTTGTATTTTCATAATACCTTCCACATGTCTTTTCCTATGGTCATTTAAATTGTAAAATGATGAGCTGAAACTTTAAACAAACTAGCAGTACATTGCTTTAATTCATTTTGTATGTGAGAATAGTGGGCAGGGAACATTTGATTCACTGCATCAATGTATGCTTATGTATTGCTTTGAAAACAAACTTCGTCTCAGGAACAACTGGCTTTAGTCTCATAGGAAATGATTATAGTTTAAATCATAATGCCTACATTGTGGCAATAATGATAGTCTTGATATGTCCTGATAAAGACGACCGCCTCCGTGGTGTAGTGGTTAGAGCGGAAGGTCGCGGGTTCGATCCCCGACCGCGTCATACCAAAAGACGTTAAAATATGGTACTTGTTGGTCCCTGCCTGGCGCTCGGCATTAATGGGTACAACAAGGACTGGTCGGCTCGGAGTCAGTATAATGTGTCTGAGTGGGGTATTCATGCTTCACTGCGGCATGGTATCTCAGTGGGCTAGCACTATAAAAAAACTAGCTAAAAGTCTGGGCTAGTACAAGCAGACGCACACACATGCATGCACGTTGTCATATGAGCGAAATATTCTCAAGCACGACATTAAACCAAATTTCACCTCACCTCACCTCACCTGGTAAAGAATGGCGTCTTTACCTGGACTTGGTGATTCTTGGTGTTACCTTATATCCATGAACTTAACATAAAGTACAGCCTTGGAGCAAGGCTAGAACCAACATGCAGGAAGTTCATCAAGGTAATACCACTGTATGAAACAGGGTTGTTTCAAGTTGTAAAAAATGTTCTGAGAATATTACTGGATTATGTTCTGCTAGAAGCTAGACACAATGAGTGGAAGTTGTCACTTACCAGACTCCCTACATGCCCCAGGGAAACACTAGTAGTATGGATGGTTCATCGAAATCAAGGATGCTCTGTAACTCTATATATTCACTAATGTGGCTTTATATGTCCTGACAGACTTTAGATGTCCATAATTTGATTTCCTTGTGGTGTCAGTTTGGATGATTTTTGCCAGGTCTCAAAATACAATGACTTATATTCCAGTTGTCATTAAATAATATGTAGTTGCATTACTGTTATTCTGTTTTCTGTATTTTGAAATGCATAAGTACAAATTGACATAAAATATACAATTCCTGTTAAATCTCTGAACAATGCTGTTTTGTAGTTACTTATATTTTGTTTGTTTCTCTGTTTCAGGTGGAAAAAAATCGGAATAAATCCCAAAATAAACAACATGATCTTAGGTTACGATGCAGCTAAACATGATCTAATCCTCATATCAGATAGTGGTTTGAAAAGTAAGTATTGTATCTTTTCACTGTGGAAATCAATTTCAATGTAAATTCGTATAGATAAATGTGGATTTTGTAATATAATTCCTCCATTTGTACCCCTATGAAAAAACTACAGTAGTGTCAAATGTAACTAAGTCATTGACAGAAATGTGAACTGTTACGACCTGCTTACCAGGAAGTGGTCAATCTTTTCAAAGTTCCTTTTTAAAAACTTCATGAATATTCAGTTCTAATGATGAGAAACAACAAATTTGAAGGGAAACACTTCTAGTTTCCAATATGTACATGAATCGTAACAGGCTTAATGCATGTGTAAATTCACTTGCCGGATTGGCGCGGAGGGCATTTTCTTGACAACAGTCAATGTCTCCGTCTCGTTTGTAGTTCGACAGCATCTTTTAGGAGATCGCCAGTGTGTCAAGTACAATGTCTTTGATGGGAAGGTTTATTTCGTTTTAGCTGTTATCAGTCATTCTGACAGTTGTGTGACATCAGGTACCATTATTTATGTATCCGAGCATCGAAGTCAAGTTTTTGATGCATTGATTCTGACTTGCAATTCATTGACAGTTGGTTCATTGTTACACCAAAATTGCATCTAGTTTAATCAAAAACAGAACAAACTTTGTTCAAATCTTGATAAAATCTGATGATAAGGTAATAGTTAGAAGACAGTTCTTCAATTTTGGTCTAAGTTTCAGAGCACCTGTTATGATTACTACCGGTGGGGTAGCCTAATAGTTAAAGCGTCCACTAGTCACGCCGAAGACCCGGGTTCGATTCCCCACATGGGTACAATGTGTGAAGCCCATTTCTGGTGTCCACACTGTGATATTGCTGGAATATTGCTATAAGTGGCGTAATACCATACTCACTCACAATGATTACTGCCAGATGGATCTAGTTGTTTGTCAAGTAGCAGTGCACATATAATAAGTATATGATATATATAAAGTGATTGAAAAGAGACTAATTGTCTTATAAACTGCTTTTGAAAAAACAATTTCAAAATATGGACTTCAAAATTGCTGGAATATTTCATGTTCTTTAGATTCATGGAACTGAGCTAGTTCATAAGTTCCCAGTGACTTTATTTGTACCAGTAGTCTCCCTTTGTTAAAGGTTGATGTTGAGGCTGTGTGGTGACAAGTTTTATGTGTTGCAGTGGGCGAAGACACCCTGCTGGACATGGTGTTGCTGATGACGGAGAAGACAGGGCTGGTCCACCAGTTGCCCTACATCTGTGACAGGAAAGGATTCTCATCACATATAGAAAAAGTAGGTAGACATTGGGGTTGTAGCAAGTATACAGAGTAATCTTGACCATATTCTTAAGACCCTGGAAAAAAGTTAAGAATTTTTCTTCTTGCTTTCTTACGTGCCTCCAAGCTGAGGTTTAAGGACAGAATAGGTCTCATGTGTACCTGTTGCCCACTCATGTTTAAGGACAAAACATGTCTTTATCATGTTCTTGCCTCAGTTCAAAGATAAGGATTTTTCCCTGACTTGTTCCTTGAAATCACTGACAGTTGTTCATACTATCAACCACTGGTTTGTCTGATCCAGACTTGACAATTAATGACAACTGCAGCCCTTACGATCATATCCTCATTTTGATTCAGCATAACATCATGTATTGTTTATTTTTGTTGTAGGTATTTTTTGGCACCCAACATGCGAAAATGTACCTGTGTGCTAATGGCCTTGGAATCAACTGCACGACGGGGATGTCATGTCTGTTCAGGAAGGAGGTCCTCGAGGAGGCCGGGGGCATGACCCATCTGGGACAATATCTGGCTGAAGACTACATGATGGCACAGGCTTTTGTTGATAGGTAAGGCCATGTAATAAATGGCTCAGGTGTTTGTTGATAGGTTAGGCCACATAATGGCTCAGGTGTTTGTTGATAGGTAAGGCCGCATAATGGCACAGGTGTTTGTTGATAGGTAATGCCGCATAATGGCTCAGGTGTTTGTTAATAGGTAAGGCCACATAATGGCTCAGGTGTTTGTTGATAGGTAAGGCCACATAATGGCACAGGTGTTTGTTGATAGGTAAGGCCGCATAATGGCACAGGTGTTTGTTGATAGGTAAGGCCACATAATGGCTCAGGTGTTTGTTGATAGGTAAGGCCGCATAATGGCACAGGTGTTTGTTGATAGGTAAGGCCACATAATGGCTCAGGTGTTTGTTGATAGGTAAGGCCACATAATGGCTCAGGTGTTTGTTGATAGGTAAGGCCGCATAATGGCACAGGTGTTTGTCGATAGGTAAGGCCACGTAATGGTACAGGTGTTTGTTGATAAGTAAGGTCCCACGTAATGGCACAGGTTTTGTTGTAAGGTAAGGTAAGGCCAAATGAAGGCACAGGTGGTCATGGATAGGTAAGATTTAGTAATTAAAGAGGCAGTGGGATAGCCTTGTGGTTAAAGGGTTCGCTTGTCATGCTGAAGACCCGGGTTCGATTCCCCACATGGGTACAATGTGTGAAGCCCATTTATAGTTCCCCAGCTGTGATATTGCTGGAATATTGCTAAAAACAGCGTTAAACTAAAACCAGGGCTCGATTTAAGAGATGTTAACCTACTTGCACCAGGTGCAACCTAAGATAGAAACCTAGTTGCACCAGCCAAATTCCAGTTGCAATGTAGTGTGCTAAAACGTCAAGAGGTTTCAGTGCACATGAACATATTTCCGTGATGTTGTACCCATGAAACCATAGCAACACAGAGACACAGCTGGTTCCTGTTTACTCAAGCTGTCATTGCCAAGAGGTGTCTATAAATAGCAATGTTTTGATGCCATAGCTATTCAAAGTTTAGAAGAAATATGAGCTGACATATTTATGCTTATAATGTTAGATTTATTGTTGATATAATTCTCGAAACTTGACTTGCACCTGGTGCAAGTCAGACTAATAACTAGGTTGCACTTTGTAATATTGGGTTGCACCAGTGCAAGTATCAAAGCACTAAATCGAGCCCTGAAAACTCACTCACACAGTAATTAAAGGTAACAAATCATGAATACAAAATTAGGTTGTGCTCGGTTTATTACTTTAAAAAACAGTAAAAGTTGTAGAGATATTTCTTTAGTGTTTGTTAAATTTAATGTTATATTATCATCAACAAGTCTGATTTCATTTAAAGCATATATGTAGGCAGTTTTCAATACTGTATAGCTACGGCATGCATGCACATTAGAAATGTTTTTTGAAAAACAAAACAAAAAAACATTTATATTGATATACACATGAGTGCGTTATGCTATACCAGCTGGTAGAGGTATTAATGCTTGGTGATAGCGTAACCATAGTGACCATGCCAGTGGACCCTATTAATGGTGTGTGTTTCATTCTAGTATAGATCATGAGATGTGACAGGTGCTTGGTTTAGACCTGTCAATCATCTCCCCTATGTAAACACACATGTCATTGCCACTGGTGTCAAGGTGTAATAAGCGACACTGTGTGTTGATTAGACAGATATAGGCAATATTTGTTTTGATTATGTCAGAGAATCAATGGAAAATAGTATAGCTAGATAAATGTAGGATTAAACAGGATTAATGTACAGCTTGTTTTGTTTGAAATTAGTGATGAAAGTGAAGACATCATTGTCATTTTCATGTAGTAAAATTGTATAATGTCACTTCATGTGGGTCCATATATCAAAAGACTATATATAATTTTTGCTTTCAAATTTTAGCAAACTGTTCTGTTTGTGTCAACACTGTAAATGCATTTGTTTCGCCCAATGTTTGTTATTCTATTTGGCATGAAATTGTCAGGGATTTAACCAGACTTGCCCTGAGGCCAACATCCGGCTCCAAGTCTGCAACAAATATCAGTAAATATTCCCACATTGAAAATAAGGTGTTTCCAGCTCAGTTTAATATAGTTATATCTTATGCAATGGCTTGATCTGGTTGACTTGTATTTCACTGACAGCAGGACTAATAAAGAAGAAAAGGTTTCAATGTTTATTTTTACAGTATTGAATGTAATGTTGATACACAATGTTAAATGAAAAAAGAAAATAGGAACTTTAAACAACAATTGTTTACCAACTCAGCTTGCCAAGGGCATTTAGTTTGAATCCCTAATAAATCCCTTCATGTGTTTACCATGTAAACTCTGTAAGGTTTGGTTCTCTTCATTAGGTGTTTACGGTAGGAAGGGATCACATGTAAAGCATTTGATAAATTGTCACAAAGATAACAGATGCTTTTAATTTGTATCTCGTATGTGTATCCTTTATCGCTAGTCAATAAGGAAATGGGATGCACAATCAAAAAAGAATTTTTATTTTTTCATTTTCTGTTTTGTTTTATTGTGGCTACAAGGCGTAGCTGCTCAAGTCTCTCAACCTCAAAATGCTTCCTTGTTGTTAGCCCAAGACCCGCTAGGATTGCCAGGATTGAGTAGCTGACTGAGTTTGGTTTTACGCCACTTTTAGCAATATTCCAGCAACATCACGGCGGGCCAGGATTGAGTAGAGTCATGCCTAGATATGGGAACTGGGTGGTGGGTTGGGGGAACATGCAAACATAAATGTACGTTTAATTTTGGCAGGTAATTCTGAAAAAATATCTTGAAATTAATTTAGTATAGATTCTTGAGCACTATCATTTAATTTATAACATGGATAAATAATAACTGACTTTTCTGCCATTGTTCGTAACATTAGAAAATAGAAAGAAAATAATTGGAGTTTAGTTTATGCCTGAGGAATGCAACCCTTGAAAAGTACTTGAGAAGTGCTTGAATTTTGTCGGCCAAGATTTGTATGAACCCTTCCTAACGAGGCAGAGTTTGCTACAGTTGGACAGTCAGTGTGTAATGGTAGTGGGGTATTGTGTCAGTGTATGAGTTATATGTTGTGTGACCATGTGTATGAGTTATATGATCTGTTTGTGTGTTATGTGATCAGTGTGTGTTATGTGATCAGTATGTGTTTCCTGTGTTATGTGATCAGTGTGTGTGTTATGTGATCAGTGTATGTGTTACGTAATCTCTCTGTGTGTTATGTGATCAGTGTATGTGTTGTGTTACGTAATCTCTCTATGTGTTATGTGATCAGTGTATGTGTTCTGTGTTATGTGATGTGTGTGTATTCTCTGTGTGTGTTATGTGATCAGTGTATGTGTTCTGTGTTACGTATTTCTCTGTGTGTTATGTGATCAGTGTATGTGTTCTGTGTTACGTATTCTCTCTGTGTGTTATGTGATCAGTGTATGTGTTCTGTGTTACATTATTCTCTCTGTGTGTTATGTGATCAGTGTATGTATTCTGTGTTATGTGATCTCTGTGTGTGTTATGTGATCAGTGTATGTGTTCTGTGTTACGTATTCTCTCTGTGTGTTATGTGATCAGTGTATGTATTCTGTGTTACGTGATCTCTGTGTGTGTTATGTGATCAGTGTATGTGTTCTGTGTTACGTATTCTCTCTGTGTGTTATGTGATCAGTGTATGTATTCTGTGTTACGTGATCTCTGTGTGTGTTATGTGATCAGTGTATGTGTTCTGTGTTACGTATTCTCTCTGTGTGTTATGTGATCAGTGTATGTGTTCTGTGTTACGTATTCTCTGTGTGTGTTATGTGATCAGTGTATGTATTCTGTGTTACGTGATCTCTGTGTGTGTGTGTGTGTGTTCTGTGTTATGTGATCTGTGTTTGTTATGTGATCATTGTATGTGTTCTTTGTTATGTGATCTGTGTGTGTTATCTAAAGTGTATGTGTTGTTTTTTGTAACTAAAGTACTGTCGGAAATAGAAACAAACTGCTTTTAGGCTGTTACTCTGTATCCCTAAAATTTACACAATTGCAAATAGCATATGTCGAAATAACCTACATCGGCCTAACTGGGCGTTCAGTGGGATGCGTAATAGGATATCCAGAAAAGCATGTTTACTCGTAAAATCGGGCAAAACTTAGAAAAAATACGAACAGCTGCTGAAAACAATAGATCAGACTATAGATGGCAATTAGGTCGACAGCCAGGTATGACGACGGACCGTCAACTCACTTGGCATGAAATGCATGTGCTGCCCACAGACACAAGGGGTCATCTCAAATATTTTTCTGCTTTTTCATGTGTATTGAATATGTCTCTTATTGATTATCTAATCTTAGCTAATAACTCTTTCCCCAAGCCCGACCCCAACTACTGTCAGCAACACCCGTCTTGGTTTTGCTTATGAGACGACCCTCCTACCTGTTTCTTTATAAAGTGATAGTGAGACTCAATGGTATCTATATCCTTAATAGTTTCAGTATTAAAGTTGTTATTTTTTACGTCTGCTATCGTTTATTATGAAGCTAAGTCTAATTTCAAAAAGGACATTCAAAAAGTGTCATTTGTTATACAATATCATCGACACTAATTTGCATAAAGCCATGGTCTGCTCCAAATAAGTCTCTTCGGACTTAGAAAAACCCGCATTGCTCATTTCTGCACTAATATCTCCCTACCACTGAGACTGTAGTTGGGCTGAACTTAGTTTAACAGATATTTCACACTTTCACATATTAACTACCTAAATTGTAGATATAAATGTGAAAAAACAGTTTTTTTCTATTTCCGACAGTACTTTAGTGTATGTATTCTGTGTTATGTGATCTGTGTTTGTTATGTGATCATTGTATGTGTTGTGTTTTTTAACTAGTGTATGTGTTCTGTGTTTCAGGGGATGGAAAGTTCGGATCAGCTCCCAGGCGGCCCAGCAGAATTCGGGAATGTACTCCATCCCTCACTTTCACGCCAGACTCATTAGGTAATGATAATAATAGTCGTTATACTGATGATTATACTTATACATGCACAACTCAAAGATATTTGACTGTTTTGATACTATGAAATCCAACCATATATGAATGGTTCATCTTGCCCGTTTGCTGTTCAATATAAAAACAAAATCTTGACTAGGCGGCTACAAGTTATGGTCGTTTCCTTGTGGGATCTGGCCCCTTGACACCCACAGTTCCTTACAGTGACCCTGCCCATGAGTGAGTGAGTGAGTGAGTTGGGTTTTACCCCGCTTTTAGCAATATTCCAGCAATATCCTGGCGGGGACACCAGAAATGGGCTTCACACATTGTACCTTTGTGGGGATTTGAACCCAGGCTTTCAGCGTGACAAGCAAACACTTTAACCACTAGGCTACCCCACCGCTCCATACTGCCTGTTAACCTTTATCGTCAGTAAGTCACTGTGTGTGTGTCTTACCCCGTGAAGATCAGGGTTAGAATTGATCTTCAGCAACCCATGCTTGTCATAAGAAGCAACTGACGGGATCTGGTGGTCAGACTCACTGACTGGGTAGGGCTGCCTCGAAAACACTACGTGGCGAATATGATATGTATCACGAATATTGGGTAACGAATACGACTAATTATTCACGAATACAATATTGTAGTTAACTGATTGATGCACAGTATCGACACCCATGTTGACAGTGTTAATTTGTCACAGCAATAACCACTGAACCGGTGATCCCATGACACTCAAATATGTATGTAATAGTTATAGTCAACAATACCATGTGTGGCCTTGGCAAACTAACATGACTTGTGCTACTGCAAGGCTAGTACATATTCCATAACTCCATATCTCACTTTGAAAAAGGACATAATGAACCCTTATGTCCTATTCTCCCTTAAATAATTGTAAATATTCATTAATATTCGGTTCTGGTGACCACGAATAACGAATTGAATACATGAAGGGCTTCGGTTCGATTCACCGAATATGCGAGTGAATCGTAATAGCCTTAGTTGACACATGTCATCATATCCCAATTGCATAGATCGATGCTCATGATGTTGATCACTGGATTGTCCGGTCCAGACTCGATTATTTACAGACCATGAGGTGGAATATTGCTGAGTGAGGCGTTAAACAACCAACAAACCAACTCACTGTGTGTGTATACCTTAGCTCTTCTATCGCCCATGAAATTGTACTGGTGAGGTGTGGCTATTATCTGGCTCTGAAAACATGACATGTATATGAACTGTGAAGTCAAATAAGCCAAACTGAGCAAGCTCGGTGCATAGACGTTGTGCCAGCCCAACCATTGCCTGACACAAACCAATGTGTTAGATGGAGGCAAGGCTATTACTGCACATGCGACATAGGAAATATTACAGATGTAATCTGAGAGCTCATTGATCCCAGCACTCGCACCAGGCTGTTGCTCGCTTCCTTGATTATATTCTAGTGTATCGTGGTAGCCTCGTTTGGATGATGTTATGTTGTTTTACAGAACAACACAATACAATCATGTCTGCAAGTGTTAGCATTATAGTGTAGTGTATCGTGGTAGCCTCGTTTGGATGATGTTATGTTGTTTTACAGAACAACACAATACAATCATGTCTGCAAGTGTTAGCATTATAGTGTAGTGTATCGTGGTAGCCTCGTTTGGATGATGTTATGTTGTTTTACAGAACAACACAATACAATCATGTCTGCAAGTGTTAGCATTATAGTGTAGTGTATCGTGGTAGCCTCGTTTGGATGATGTTATGTTGTTTTACAGAACAACACAATACAATCATGTCTGCAAGTGTTAGCATTATAGTGTAGTGTATCGTGGTAGCCTCGTTTGGATGATGTTATGTTGTTTTACAGAACAACACAATACAATCATGTCTGCAAGTGTTAGCATTATAGTGTAGTGTTGTATCGTGGTAGACCTCGTTTGGATGATGTTATGTTGTTTTACAGAACAACACAATACAATCATGTCTGCAAGTGTTAGCATTATAGTGTAGTGTATCGTGGTAGCCTCGTTTGGATGATGTTATGTTGTTTTACAGAACAACACAATACAATCATGTCTGCAAGTGTTAGCATGAAAAACATGTAGTCCCTCTCCAACACCTCGTTTATTGACATCCTATGTCGATAGTCATAGTACTGGACACCGTCTGTAATAGATATCTTCTCTCCCGGTTTATCAATATATAGCCACTACACCAACAAGCTGCTGTATGTATTGATGAGTGATAGAGAACCTTAATGAAAATGAACCTCTGAGGTTTTGACGATGGCAAATTCTTGACCCTGGTGTATGCAGTATGTCCCCTATTTATTCAGTTTGGGTTGACGTCCATGTGTTATCACATCTGTCAATTTATGTTATTCTCAGCTTCATGGGGAGAATACAGTAATCAGTCAGGCTATTTACCTGTCTGGTCACGGTGCCTCACGCTGTAATCAGCTTTGTAGATGATGTTATTGGATCAATGAGTGATTGTTCCTGAGACATCTGTATTGGGATGTGTTCCTTCAGTCTAAGGGATTGCCGTGTCTGTTGTTCATTGAGCTTTGTCTCTGTGTCTTGTCTGGACGAATTAACCAGGATTTATTATTCCACGGTTAGTAAGATCCTGTCTGTGTGCACATGATCTCCAGAAATTATGACTACTAGAATCTGGAAAGAGTACTAACATCAAGTAGGTTACACAGAGCTTTATTGACTGAGTTATTGAATGCATTTTGCCAAGTCAGTAAACTTATGAGGTGGTTGTGACCTATAACGTGGATGATGCTAAGGTTCAGGCTCAGGCTCATGTTCAGCCACAGGTTCAGTCACGGGCTCAGGCGTAGGTTCAGTCACTGGTTCAGTCACAGGTTCAGGCTCGGTCACAGGCTCAGGCTTAGGTTCAGTCACAGTCTTAGGTTCAGGCTCGGTCACAGGTTCAGTCACAGGCTTAGGTTCAGTCACAGGTTCAGGCTCAGCCACAGGTTCAGTCACAGGCTTAGGTTCAGTCACAGGTTCAGGCTCGGTCACAGGTTCAGTCCCAGGCTTAGGTTCAGTCACAGGTTCAGGCTCTCAGTCACAGGCTCGGTCACAGGTTCAGTCACAGGTTCAGGCTCGGTCACAGGCTCAGGCTTAGGTTCAGTCACAGGTTCAGGCTCGGTCACAGGTTCAGTCACAGGTTCAGGATCGGTCACAGGCTTAGGTTCAGCCACAGGTTCAGTCACAGGCTCTGGCTTAGGTTCAGTCACAGGTTCAGGCTCAGTCACAGGTTCAGTCTCGGTCACAGGTTCAGTCACAGGCTTAGGTTCAGTCACAGGCTCAGGATCGGTCACAGGCTTAGGTTCAGCCACAGGTTCAGTCACAGGCTCAGGCTTAGGTTCAGTCACAGGTTCAGGCTCGGTCACAGGTTCAGTCACAGGCTTAGATTCAGCCACAGGTTCAGTCACAGGCTCAGGCTTAGGTTCAGTCACAGACTCAGGTTCAGCCACAGGTTCAGTCACAGGCTCAGGCTTAGGTTCAGTCACAGGTTCAGGCTCGGTCACAGGTTCAGTCACAGGCTTAGGTTCAGTCACAGGTTCAGGCACAGGCACAGGTTCAGTCACAGGTTCAGGCTCAGTCACAGGTTCAGTCACAGGCTTAGGTTCAGTCACATGCTCAGGCTCAGTCACAGGCTTAGGCTTATGTTCAGCCACAGGTTCAGTCACAGGCTTAGGTTCAGTCACAGGCTCAGGTTCAGTCACAGGTTCAGCCACAAGCTCAGGCTTAGGTTCAGTCAAAGGCTCAATTACAGTAGGTGTTCTGAACGAAACTGTGATATTGCTGAATGAGACCAGCAGAATTTGCTTCATGTGGGTGCAATTAAACAGCTTTTCAACTTTTGCTCACCGATTGTGAGTTAAAAATGATTTACCATGCATCATCAGTGTTGCTTCTATATAGATAGTGAGTGAGTGAGTTCAGTTTTACGCCGCTTTTAACAATATTCCAGCTATATCACGGCAGGGGAGGGGACACCAGAAATGGGTTCTATATAGTAATGAAATGCTCACTGATTGCATTTAGTAAACCTGATGTTAATTAAAGAATAATTCCCAGCAGCCTTTTCCAAGCACATTTTTTGTTGTGTTTATTTGTGGAGTAGTGCCCTGTAGGCTCATCTTACTGGACCAGAAGACAATTAATCAGACTCGGGCATCTGACTTGGCTGAGGTCAGAATTAGGGAAGCAAACTAAAGCCAAATTCAAAACTGAAAGTATTTGCTTCAATGTGGACCTGTTCTCCTTGCAGATGGACGAAGCTCCGCATCTCCACAGTGCCCTCCACCATCGTGATGGAGCCCATCTTCCAGTGCATGTTCCTGGGGGGAATGGCATCATGGGCAGTGTCGTACCTGTTTGACTGGACAGCCCTGGTCTTCTTCCTCATCCACATCCTGGTGTGGTTCCTCGGGGACTACATCCTCATCAAAGTCATACAGGTAAGGCTGCTGAAGCAGAGACAGTTAGGCAATATTTTGATGTATAGTTTGTGATGAAAGCCATGTTTATGTGTCACGCCTGTAACAAACTGTCAGATATTACAAACTGTTATTTATTTTGTACCATGTACTTGCTGTGTATTTTAGTCATGATACGTGTAACAAACTAAAATAAGTGGTGCTGTTCAGCTTGTTATTACTGTAGTTTACTATATATTGACTTTCAGTCTTGGTTTAGTTACCTTGGTGCAGGTGTAGTGATGGAAATAGAATATAGCTCAAGTGTGAAGCTAATGTTGAGTGTGAAAAGTTGTACGCACCAGAAATTCAGTTTTGTTAGGTGTATTATGTTTGAGTGAGACATTAAGGTGTAGTTAATCAGTGAAATTAAAACTTTATCTGAAAATCAATCACAGAAGAGACTTGTTTTGGTTTCTCTTTAACTCGCAGTGGCTTGTAGTATTTCAGTTCCACAGTTATGGTGCAGGACTAGAATTCAGTGTGTTCTCTAACGTTTCTCCTTCACTATATTTGTTTGAAATAAATTTGTTTCAAATTTGGAAAGTTTGTGTGTTCTTGGAGATTGCAGTTACCATTGTAATCTTGGCATTGTTCATTTGTCATTTTACCCATTGCTTATATATATTCTTTTATGTAATTCATGTTTTCGGCATCACAGATATTGAATGTTAGGGTGAATCTTTTTGATATGCAAGTCCATATGTGGGATCTTTCTTATACTATGTAGGTCACAGATCAATTTCTTTATCAAATTTAGCATATCTCTGACAAAGTATTTGAGAATACACTTGCGGCAAGAAAGGTGTGCGTGCGTGTGTGTGTGTGCGTGCGTTATCAAAAGACAGTTTTCTGATATACATGTATTTGTTCCTGTTTCAGAGAGGTCCGCTGCCATTCTCCAAATTTGAGTTTGTGGTAGGTTGGTTAATGAATGAACTGGTTTCACCATATCTGATCTTCCAAGCTCACTGGAACCCAGCCGTCACCTGGCGCTCACAGAAGTACAGAATCCGCTGGGGTGGCATCACGGAGGAAATCAAGCCTCCCCCAACGAAACCGGAAGACTGACTGCTCCAAGCCTCAAGTCTGCAGCATTACAGGGCCTGATATCCACCGAGTCTGACGATGTGACGACAGTGTGTATTAATGGAGAACCTTGAGAGACCTCTCTGTTCTTCTTGTCGTTACATTTAGTTGGGCTCTTCAAGATGGATGCTGGAAGCATTTCTGGATCTGTGTGTGTAATTGCTCAAAGCAAAATCAAAATGCGTCGCCAAAATCATTGACTTGGATCGATATTCCTGGATGTCTGGTTCTAGACACGTGGAGCTCTCCCAGGAATTGAGATATCTAATTTATATCGTATTGTTGCAATGCATGTGTATCTGTGAGATTGACCATATTGTGGTTTTGACCAACTGTGAAGACAACAATGGCATGCTCCAACTGTCAAGACTACAACGGCATCCCGATGCCGTGGTTTGTGGTGCCAGGACATTGTGGTGTTTTGCCAACGCCAATCTATATCTGACTTGCATGTGTTCAATGAATATGACCAAGCTTCATTCCATCCCATGATACCAGATCATGCAGCAATGGTTCTCTCCCCTGAGTCAAGGACTATTCCAGCATATTTTTTTACCGCTGAGATTGCCGGTGGTTTCACCACCTCATTGTAACTGTGTAATGTGTCCAGCTAAGTCAGTATTGTTTGTTTATATTGTCGTTACCATGGTTTCAAGCTTCATGTGATATCACCTTGACGTCATGTTGGGACGGGTCTCCGCATGAGGAAATGTTTTATTCAGTTTATGAATTCTAGTCCAGTTTGGAAGGTTTGATATTACAGTTAGGGTTGACGTGAGACACGCAGTATAAACTACATGACAATTCCTAAAATAATAAAGAAGAATTTTGGCTAATTCTTATCAGGAATTCTAAATATTTTTAACACAAAAGATAATGCTCGAACATATCAGACAGCATATCAGAGAGCAGGGTATATCCCGTTAGGACAATAGGCCATATTTTTGTTTCATGTCACGATCAGGTTTCAAAATCGTGTCGAATTCTTTTTGAAGGGAGATAAAATGCACCTTTTTTCTTATTATTATTTAACTACATTTAATTTCTATCAGGTTTCAAAATTGTGTCGAATTCTTTTTAAAGGGAGATAAAACACTCGCCTTTTTTCTTATTATTTACCTACATCTGATTTTGATCAGGTTTCAAAATCCTGTTGAATTCTTTTCAAAGGGAGATAAAACTCACCTCTTTTTTTCTTATTATATAGCTTCATTTAATTTCAGTCAGGTTTCAAAATCGTGTCTATTTCTTTTCAAAGGGAGATAGTACTCACCTTTTTTCTTACTATTTAGCTTCATTTAATTTCGATCAGGTTTCAAAATCCTGTTGAATTCTTTTCAAAGGGAGATAAAACTCAACCCTTTTCTTCTTATTATTTAGCTTCATTTAATTTCGATCAGGTTTCAGAATTGTGTCGATTTCTTTTCAAAGGGAGATAATACTCACCTTTTTTCTTCTTATTTAGCTACATTTCATTTTGACATAGTGCAATGATGATCAACACAGAAGTATAGGAGTCAACTGTCAATCCTATGCAGCATCTACATGTATACAGAGTTTACTTATTCGTAATAACATGGACATTCAAATGCACCTAAAATTACAATATGTACACACATTATTTGCAAGACCAAAGAATATTCCACAAATAGGAATATTGTTTATCTTTAGTATTCTTCAAAAACAATCAGTTACAGTGGTGCCATCTGACTAATTGTAAAGTGGTGATTCCGCTATTAGATGCCAATTGTGACATTTCCATTTCTATTTCCAAAGTGGGCTATTGTCAATTACACTTTTTTACCTACAATACAAGCTTTATGAATTCAGTGATTAAAATAAACATTCGGAAAAATCACATTTACTTCACAATCCAATAATACCAATTCTGTCACCAATTACATAGCAATTAAAAATCAGTAAATTAAAATCAGTTACACATCACAAATCCTCAAATTCTTAATGAAAGTAATGAAAATATTAGGTATCATAAATATGGTACGATATAGATATGAATATTACCAGTTACTTTTAATGATTAATTCTCTTTATATCACCATCATCATTTAGGTGACTTGATCATAGATTGAACTGTTAAAAAGTGTGAAATTATGACAGCTCAGCAAAAAGAAGCATTATTAATTTTGAGATCTAAATCAAAAAGTAGATTGGTTCTACTGATGAGTGAACATGATATTTAATGTACAAAGTTCATGTCGTAGTTTGTCAGGAAGTTCCATTCTCAAATATCACTGGGAGCCAAAGTTTTTATATTGTGATGACAAATTCAAATCTTTATGAACATGTATGTTTTACACGTCTTCCTCGGAGCCTTGAATCTCACAACTGAATCACAGTTTCTATGTCAAATGATTATTCAAACTTTTTCTTAGTTCTGTTTTCAAACAGCTCAGTAACTCACAGGGTGATACTTCTGAAAGTATTGAAGAATACCATGTCTTGCTTACGATAGATGTAGCACAACTCAAAGCCTGTTTCCATGTGTATCAATTTTGGTGTATCACTGAACCATAATTTTGTTTGAGAAGGGTACAGGGATTCTTTACCCAACACCACTCTGCAAATTCAGCATTTTTTGTGCAAGATAATTGTTAAATGAGAATTTTACAGCATGAGATTTGAGAACCATTTTCATTTTATACTTATCTATTGTGAATATTTATGTTTTTGTAAGTGATACTATTTTTGAAAATGGAGATTTTGATGTAAGTCATGGAACTATGCTGATGCTTGTATTGGTATTGTTGTCCCAGGTCAAATGTTTTGTCTTCAATCAAAAATGTACTACAGTATTGAAAAATTAAAATGATGAGATTTTCTGGATGATTGTATATATTTTTGAAATAGTGCATGAATTTTTGAGTATTTTTAGATTGGTTTTGTTCACAGAAATCAAAATGTATGCTTTGTGATGAAATTGTATTTATTCAATTCAGAGTCGATAAATTTTTGTATGAAAGGAGGCATTTTATGCCTTGGAAAGTATTTTTATGTCGTCAAAAGACACTGCTTCTATTCTAAGAGTGTGATGATAATGTGATCAAATCCGAGAGATCAAAAAGATTCTTTGTAGGAATTAAAATGTGGTAAGGATAAAGAGCTTTCAAACTTCCATTCACAGTTAATTCAATAAGACAGGAATTAGGGCAGACAGTTTTAGTGCCTGTGTTGAAAACGTCTCCCATTTTGCTCAAATAACATCTTGAATAAAACCATACAATTTTAATGAGGTTCAGGTAGCCATATATTAAAAAACAGCATCATTTGAATAATATTGCTGAAAAAGTGTGAAAAGGCATGAATAGGCCTCTCTTGGCCAATCTATTTATTAAATATTACCTAACTAGTTAACACAAATGGAAAGTGATAACTACTAAACTAGTCAGTAAGAATTAATAGTTTTGAATGTTCATTCTTTTTAGTCATTATACACATCTTGCCGATAGATATTCATGCTCGAAAAGTGTTTTACTTTTGTTCTTTCAGAGTTTTTGCTAGTCATTTCTAACAGCTGAGATTCACTTGTTTGGCCATATGCAATAATCACAGATATTTATTTGTAATGCATGTTAATCCAGTATTTTTATATCTCCACTAGTCTGATGGACAACACAAAGAAACATTACTGACATTGTTTTGCTCTTCTGCAATATTTAAGTTGAGCAGCATTCTCAATTGCCAGGTAGGCAATTTGCTGAGAAATATTTGTTATGTTGTTTTATTTGTCGTCAAGGTTTTAACAATATTGCTTGTTGGTCTGACATAGTGTTTATGTATGTTTTACACTTTATTATTTAGATATGTATGACACCACTGTCACATTGTTTGCGAGTTCTTTAATCACTGAAATTGCTGTTAAACACGATCTTTTTTATAACATTATGTTTTGAATATTTAATGATGGCTTTGAAGTAAAGACGATTCAAATATTACACATTGCAGTGTCAGGATTTTGTGAGCAAATTGACAGTGTGACAGGTGGTCTGTGTTGGTGAGTTCTTAGTGGGCAGCATGGATGTGGTGGGCAGTCTTACCTCCCCTGCCCTGTTGAATGACGTCTCTTTGAGACCGACAGACAGGTGTCAGAGAGGCAGCTTTTTCTGTCTCGCCTGTGTCTCTCGCCATGCTTCAGTGATAATTCTCATTCGATACTTGGAAATCAAAACCATCCTTACAAATGCATTTCCCTATTTCCACAAAAGTTGCAATTTTGTAATTGTTGCTTTTGAAATCAAAACATTGTCTCTACAAAATGGGGGGAACCAGTTTGGGGGAAAGTGATTCAGATCACAAAACTTAATTTTAAGGACAGTGTTGTTTGAATATTTAGACTCATTATTTACAAGAAAAAATTACTGGTGTTTCTTTTTTCAAATGCATAATTTCTCAGTTTTGAACACTGTAGCCATGTTAAGAGTCCAGTTAATTTCTGCCCTCCCAGGTATCGGTTCCCAACCGATGTTCTATGAAGTGCTGCCTGATAAACTCATCAACACATGCATGCCTCCAAGTCTGTTATATACAGTGTATGTTTTTTGTGTTACAGTGTATTGGCAACCACATGATCAGTAAACATTTTTGGCTTTATTAACTTTGGTTTGTTGTGGCTTTCGTAACTATATATATACACCAGTGTTTACTTTTATAAGCATTTCGTTTTTGGTGTATTATTGGTGTATGAACGTAATGGCAGAATCAGCTGGGTTCATTTATTTTTAGCCTTTTAGCATTATTGTCTGCCTGGAGGTCGCTGTGTGTTGGGCTTAGTGACCCACATTCAAACACTGCATGTTAGCTTAATGTCAGGAATGAAAATGTTTCGTTCCTTGTTGGAAGTTGTTCTTGACATTTTCCAGAGACGGGGCACAGATGGTGGCACACTGACCACTTGGTCTTGGCACAGCCATGGGACAATGTACATGTATATTGTGCGGAAGGGCATCCAGTCATTTCCCACCAAGTCAATTCCCCACCTACCATTTCCCCATCCGGACAATATCCCACTCATTATATACTCATGGAAGGTGGGGAAATGACCGGCCAGATATATATACTCATGGAAACAAATAAGGGAACATGAAAGTACAAGTGTTCCTTTAGAATTTCACCCACAGTGCAATACATACCTTGTGAAGAAACCTTGAAAAGAATAAAGGAAACACTTGTACTTTCATGTGTTCCCTTATTCGTTTCTTTGAGTATATATCTGGCCGGTCATTTCCCCACATTACTTTTGCTTGTTTGTTATTTCACTCAAATAAATGAAGCCCATTACTGGTGTTCCCCGCCGTGATATTGCTGGAATACTGCTAAACACGGCGTAAAACCATACTCGATCACTCAAATATAAGAATGAATGAACAAGAAGTAGTGTAAAATAAGTAGGAAGTTCATTCAGATGTAATTTCTCAACCAATGATCAGTAATCATAAGAAAAACACTGCTTTCCAAACAATCCATGTCGTCTCTAAACCCTTTCCACATTCATAAGAGTGAGTGAGTATGGTTTTACGCCGATTTTAGCAATATTCCAGCAATATCAGGACGGGGACAGCAGAAATGGGCTTCACATATTGTACCCATGTGGGGAATCAAACCCTGGTCTTCAGCGTGACGAGCCTACACTTGAACCATTAGGCTACCCCACCGCCCCCACAATTGTACAATTGTGATTATATCACGAGTGTGTGTTTGATGCTGCACATTCAGCAGTATTACGACTGTACAACGCTGTCTGTAAACCATCTAGTGATTGACACCATGAGATACGATGACGGAGAATGTGCTTATGAATCACCATCAAATAATATTGATACCAGGAGTTCACGAAAAGGTGAGAGTAAACTGCCCCATTGAGGTTACCCCGTCTTAAGCGGCTAGTCAGCTATTCACCTGAAAAATTTAGGGAACGCATGTTACAAATCAAAATAGCTAATTTTTGTCAGTGATGCATCAGATTTTGAAATGTCATCCACATGTCTAAAAAATCCCTCAGCAATATGAAAAAGATATACTTGATATGTTCCTGAGATGTTCCAGCACCTTGAGGTTCAAACGAAGTACAGCAGCAGTAAAATTTCAAACATAACCAGCAACAGCTACACAAAATCTGCCGAAACATTATCAAGAAGCAATGCCACGGATTCAACCTTTGACAACCTTTATATCAACAACTTTGACTCTTTTTTTCAAATTTGACAGTCATACAGGAGAGACAGCAGTAACAGCATAATAGACATTCCATTTATAAACATTCAGTCTATGACTAAAGTATGCCTGAAATCACTTTCCGTCATTTTGTAATATTTCATTTACTGATTTTACAGGCAAAACATCTCTCGCACTGGATTGTGTGCTTAATGAGGTGAGGTGAAATTGGGTTTTAACATTGTGCTTGAGAATATTTCGCTCATATGACGACATGCATGTGTGTATGTATGTGCGGCTGCTTATACTAGCCCAGACTAAAGCTGGTTTTATAGTGCCAGCACACTGAGATACAATGCCGCAATGAAGCGTGAATACCCCACTCAGACACATTATACTGACTCTGAGCCGACCAGTCCTTGTTGTACCCATTAATGCCTAGCGCCAGGCAGGGACCAATAAGTACCATATTTTAACGTCTTTTGGTATGACGCGGTCGGCAGACACTCTAACCAGGACACCACGGAGGCGGTCTGACACACAACAAATAGTACATGACCAGTTTGAAAAATGTTTGTTGAACATAACTGGAAGCCACTCTCAGTCAACAAAACTGAGCTATCAATATCTGTATTTAATATTATCAGTATTTTTCAGGTCCATTATCCTAAAGTTAATCCGCAATGCACGGACAGGTAAACCATAACAATGTGAAAGCTTTGCTTGCTCGTATGGATAATTTACAAGACTCAATGTTGATTTTCAAGTTAACCTGACAAGTTCACAAACGACAGGTTTATCAGATTTTCTTGCAGAGAAGTTTCCTATTACAGTAACAGTGTGGATTTTATGAGAAAACATCACTCACTGCAAAGTTTCACATCAGCTATCTAATGTTTGTGGTTGTGCATGGTCTTGTGTTCAGAGCTCATTACCAGCGAGGTGAAGGTAAGCAATGTTAGCATAGCATAGGATGGGTGACCACACTTGGCACCTTGACTCCCTAGTTTTGAGGGCTTTGTCATTGCCCCACGCTGAAGATGTTTTATCTGGTCTCTTTAAGCAAGTGACTTTTCAAAAAGGTGACCAAATTTGTCACCATGACTCCCTTGGGCTTTTGTATTGCCCCACACTGAATGTGTTATAGCTGGTGTCTCTTTAAGCTGGGAGACTATATATGTAGATTATCCCTGCTTTAAGCAAGTGACTTCTCAGAAAGATGCCGTTTCACTCATCTGTCAATGGTAATGTGAAACCTTCCAGCTTTGTATGCATACTCCTAAAGGAGCTGAGAATATATTTCAAAAGCAACTGTACCACTGACCATTGGTAATAATACTGTTAGCGGTTTGAGCATAAAGTAGAGTATGGAATCAAATGCATTACATCTACTCATTATTATTATTGAAATTCATAACTTTCTAATGGAATGAAAAGTTCCTGCTAAAGCTTACTCTTGACTGGAATAAAATATCACTTCTTTCCAATTTATGTAAGCTAAGTGTCTATCCCTCATAACAAAAATAAACAACTTGGGCTTCTCAACATTTTATTAAAGATCCTCAGTGCAGCATATGCAAATGACATCTGAAATGCATTAATTCAACATTAAAGTGAATTTACAAAAGTCATTCTTCTCAGCTTAATATTCTGATACACAAAGGTAGATACTTAGTTCATACTTCTTTCAAAATACATTTTACATTGCACAATTAATAGATACAAATTAAGGAAATTTTGGAATCAAAACATAGCATTTTTTCTAATGGGAAAAAAACCTACAAACGGCTGTGTCCGGTTTTGGAAAATTCAATAACTGACAATGCCAAAATGTGACCAGCATTACTAATGTCAAAAGTTACTGTTAAGCTAAGGGCGTTACAATTATCATGATGCTTAGATCACTCACTAACACAGGGCCAAGCTATCAGCAACCCGTCATGACTAGCGGTAGTAATCTGCTAGTCATGAAAGTTAAGCTGTAGTGATCGTGTCATCTCTGTTCTTATCTGACACAAGATGCGAGTGTGTATCTGTTCTCATAGCACACTGTGCAATCTGCTCTTATCAGCTGTGTAAGTATATTTGTCCTGAAAGAGGTTCACAATTAACATTAAAAATTAAGGATATATCAAAAGTTACTGTGTTAGAAAATTTACAAAATAATATCCTCTTTCATTGACAAATACGTTTTTCTGGTTTGCAGTGCCTCCATTGGAACCCAGTCACTCATCTGTTGAAAGAATTAGAACATCATCTTAGAGAAACTCTCATACTGCAAGCATAAAATGTTACTGTACCTAATCTGCATTATTGAATATTATCAACAAGTATCTGTATCTTTTACTTAAAAACAAAATATTCAAATCTGTCCCCAGAAATATGACTTGCAAACCTCCCCTATAAGTAACATATTGAAATTATATCAATTGATGAGAAAGGTCTAAACGGAAAGAAATACACATTCTGTACTAACAAACTAAGGCTGATGTTGAGATATTCTTTCTTTAGTTAGTCATGGAAGAGTAAGGTCCCTTGCTATTCAGATGCTTTAAGAAACTCCTTGACACCTTGTAGGAGCTTGGCAACATGAACCAAATGGAATTTGCTTTCTCACAATCATCCCACTGTACATTATTACCAATCTGCAACCATGATTATTAACAACGTTTAACAATAATGATGATGATGGTGATGCGAGTTCAACATGATGGTGAGCATCAGTGTCAGGTATCCATTTCTTCTTCCTCCTCTACGTCCCCTGCAACACACAACACAGCTCTGTTTATACCTTTCATCAACCTCAAAACATAATCCCCCGTACTCAAAATAAGTACGTTTTGGACTTATCCAAAATGGTCAACATAGAAGAAGAATGTATATATACTCAGAGGCAAAAGTTGTGATTTGGACCTGAACCAGAGAAAAAATGTGTTAAAATGGCCAAAGAAATGCAACAAAGCAGTTGTTCGAATCACATGAAACTTGCAGTGCTTCACACTTAATAGGCTTCAGCTTCATACAACACTTCATAGGTGAGGTGAGGTGAAATTGGGTTTAACGTCGTGCTTGAGAATATTTCGCTCATATGATGACGTGCATGCATGTGTATGTGTATGTGCGGCTGCTTGTACTAGCCCAGACTTAAGCTGCTTTTATAGTGCTAGCCCACTGAGATATCATGCCGCAGTGAAGCATGAATACCCCACTCAGACACCTTATACTGACTCCGAGCCGACCAGTCCTTGTTGTACCCATTAACGCCGAGCGCCAGGCAGGGACCAACAAGTACCATATTTTAACGTCTTTTGGTATGACGCGGTCGGGGATCAAACCCGCGACCTTACGCTCTCCGGGCGGACGCTCTAACCACTACACCACGGAGGCGGTCCACTTCATAGGACAACTAAGACCTTGGTTTGGTTTGTTTATTGTTTAACGCCACACTCAGCAATATTCCAGCTATATGGCGGTGGTCTGTAAATAATCAAGTCTGGATCAGACAATCCAGTGATCGACAATATGAGCATCGATCTACGCAATTGGGATACGATGACGTGTGAACCCAGTCAGCGAGATTGACCACCCAATCCTGTTAGTCGCCTTTCATGACATGCATGGGTTACTGAAGATCAATTCTAACCCAGATCTTCATGGGTTCCCTGAAGCTTGATGTCTTGGAGGAACAAATATCATCACACACATGATGCAGGTTAATGCTGATGATACCAACCACTGGTTTTAATACAATTGTTAATATTATCTACAGGCCACTGATATGGCTGAGGTGCCAACACAAAATATTATACTTACGATGACAGGAGCTAAATATATTCCCTGGAATTCTCTTTGGAATTAGGCCTTAACTTTTCAACACCATCAATCCCTTAGGATAAACATAACTTTAGCATGAAGGACTTCTGGATTACCTCTACTCTTCTTTGCTGGGACATTCTCTTTCCCAGGAACTTGACCTGTTTTCAGCATCTGGTTCAACCTCTCCACTTCCTCCAGTGTTTTTGCACTAGCAATTGCTCTCTGGAATCAGTCAATGGTTTAAGCATATGAAAGTAATGAAAAATATAAATATACTGACTTGGTATTCCCTTTCAAAAGTTGAGTGGTACAGATAAGTCTGTAACTGGTAACTTCTTTGAGTGGCAGATTTAGAAGTTGGAGAGTCAGATAAGGACAAACTCTATAGTATGTACCTGCTTGACAATGATACAAGAATCTGTATCAAAACGTTGCATCACCTGAATAAAGAAGTTGTTCATCCATAAAGTTTGTCCTTATAAGTCAAATAGGATTTCACAACCCCAACAGCCAGTTTTGGTCAAGAACCTAGTTTACCCATCTTTATATAAGACACCTAATTCATGTGTCAGTGAGTCAGATGCAACACTGCCTTGAACATACGGGTATAAATTAACAGTACTCCAGTTGTATAACGAGGACACAGCTTAACGTGGGGGGAATGCTCAAAGAGACGGTTTCCACATTGGGAAACTATGAAAACAGGTATGGAGCTGGGTGAAGTGAATTAGAACCCATGATGACAGGTTCCTGGCACACCCAAGGGATGCAACTCTGCACACTTAATTGTAGCTCCTTAAATTACTGATCTGAACGTCTCCGCTTTGAACACAAGAACTATATACAGCTATGCAACTGCAGGTCAGCTTAAAGAGTGGATAAAATACAAAAGTGACATGGATTGAAGACAGTTACCAATTTGGTGAGAAATAAATAAAACAAGAAGACAAAGTCATCAATATCCCCCGCAATGGCAAAATACTCTTCATGATTATGTCTACGAGTTATGATTATGTCAAATATTTAGGTGTGTATATAGAACAGTGGAAGGAGAGTATTGAAAGGTTTTTAAAGTTCTGCTCCACAAAGGAGCACTATCACCAATTTCAGTCTAAGTCAAACTTGTTGCCATGGAAACGCCAAACATATTTTATTCAGAATTCCAAAACGACCAAAAGGCACAAGTACACCACCAGATCTATCTATGTGCCAAGTTTGGTGAAGAAATAGTGAACAGTTTTAGAGTTCAGCTCCGGAAAAGAGCACTACCACAATTTCAGGCTAAGTCAAACTTGTTGCCATGGAAACGCCAAAAATATTTTATTCAGAATTCCAAAACTACCAAAAGGAACCAGTACACCACCAGATCTATCTATGTGCCAAGTTTGGTGAAGACATATTGGACGGTTTTAGAGTTCAGCTCCGGAAAAGAGCACTACCACTAATTTCAGTCAAAGTCGAACTTGTTGCCATGGAAACGCCAAATAATTTAATTCAGAATTCCAAAAGTACCAAAAGGCACCAGTACACCACCAGATCCATGTATGTGCCAAGTTTGGTGAAGAAACATTTAACGGTTTTAGAGTTCTGCTCCGGAAAAGAGCACTACCACTAATTTCAGTCAAAGTTGAACTTGTTGCCATGGAAACGCCTAAAATATTTAATTCAGAATTCCAAAAGTACCAAAAGGCACCAGTACACCACCAGATCCATGTATGTGCCAAGTTTGGTGAAGAAACATTTAACAGTTTTAGAGTTCTGCTCCGGAAAAGACAAATGTGCACGGACGGACGCACGCACGCACGGAGTCCATTTTAATACCCCCCGCAAAACGCTTTGAGGGGGATAACAATCACAGGTCTTGGTGATGACCATACCAAGGACTTTATAGTCCAATCACACATGGAGACCAACCTTGATAGACTCAATCTCCTCCCTGGACGGGCCTGTGGACAAACTGGCAGCTGCAGCTCTCTTCTCAGGCAACTTCTCCCCAGGGACGAATGTCTTGCTGCGTTTACCAATATCAGACACAAGTTGTTGTCCCTTTTTGCCTTTGAATGTCTTGGCTGCCAGTTCCCTCTCCTACAAACAGACATGAAATTTATCTATTATCTCATCCCTGCAGACACTAATATACAAAAACTTTGCACCAACCTGTAGAGGATGCTGAAGGATCTACTTATTTGTGAAAATTAAATCATTAAGAAAAATACGACAAGTTCACCAACGAAACAGAAGTGACACATGTGGTCTCACCTTAGGCAAGTGAGTTTGTTCAAAATTGACTCTGTTCACCCAGCAGAAAATGGGTACCCGTTGGGATAAGTCATGTGCCTATAACCTCCTTGCGGTCTAACGGGCAGCTTGGGTGATCCAGGGTAATAATGTGTTTGCGCCAAGAGCATGCTTACGAGCATGGATATGTGTGCATTATTAATAGTGCATATTTATAATATATGTACGCATTATAAATATGCACTATTATCATTTTATCATCAAACATATTTGTATATATATTGATCAATCCTCTACTGAATTCACTTACCATGTAAACAATGACCCACCTTCAACTTGATTCTTTGGAAATCTAGAACTCGAAGCTGGGGACATTTGTGTATTACATACAGTCTGTACAATTTCTTGGCTGTCACTGGATTCCGTAGCAAGCTGCAAACAGTTGAAAAAGAACAATCAGGCAACCCATCAGATAATCACACAAGTCAGTGCATATGCTAAACATACAGGATTACATATTGTATATATTCACTTCAAAGCATGTGTATCACAACTTTAACAAACTCACTTCTCTCACATTTAAAATGCATCTCTTTGTAATTGAATGTACCTGATTGTGAAGTTCGTAAAAAATGATGTTTTGTGTCATGTGTATCATAGCTACCTGAAACAATGTAAATAGCTGCCTAAAAGTCAGATAAACCAATGGTTGATAGCATGAGCAATGTTACAAGCTATCAATCATTGGTATTCACTCTTCGTGAAGAAGTTCTTTCAACAAGCTTGACATACTGATGACATGGGAGATGAATGATATACTACTCACATTTAGCTAAGGATCACAAAAATTCACAACTTCACTTAATGTAGAGTTATAATTTGAAATTATATCCATTTAAAACTGGATAAATAATGATACGGTAACCCCTCTTTAGGCAAACAGCCACTTTTATTTAACTTTATGCACTCCATACATGCGTAACCATAAAAATGGTTTTCATGGCACCAACTTGCAAATCATGGAATGAGTCATTGACAAATAAACATCACCTGTTAATAGCAGACAGGGATCCACAACATGCAATGACATACTGAAACCTAGGATCCATGCTAACAATAAGCTTAGATATTTAAACCAAATTTGACCCCACATCATAGTTTTCTGTTGAATCCATGATTTGATCCATAGTAAAGTGTGAATAGTAAATGTGGTTTCACAACTGAAGCTTGAGTCATATTGACTACTACAGACCAAGGCATAATTAGGACTGACTAGTTCCACAATCATACCTCAGATGTAGTAAAGTCTTGAGAGAGCCCAGGTTATCCAGATCCCCCAGTTCTTGAAGACCATTGTTTGTGAGGATCAGTGTCTCCATGTTGGGCAGGCTCTCCTCCAGTCTCTCACCAATTCGACTGCAACAAGTACAGAGTAGTTAAGTCAATATCACCACATCCTTTTAATCACTCAATGCATTACACCAATTTGCCACCAATACCAATTACATAACTTTATTTCGAACTGAATTTGAAAGATGCTCTGTTCCAATAGCAGAATACAGGTATTAGTGAGTGAGTGAGTTTAGTTTTACGCTGCACTCAACAATATTCCATGACGGGGGACACCAGAAATGGGCTACACACAGTGTTAACATGTGGGGAATCGAACCAGGGTCTTCAGCATGACGAGCCAACACTTTTTTAACCTCTAGGCTACCCCACCGCCCAAGGTATTAATCATACAAGATCAACATACCGTAGGATGATTTTACAACTATGCGTTAATGTATTGCCATGTCATCTTGCTGGTCACCAGGTACTAACGACTCATTGACAACCTATTAAGCTTGTTAAACCTACGCTAACCAGATTTCATTCTGAGCTTACATCAAGCCTGCAGACCTATTCTTTTTGGACAATCTGAAAACCTATTTAACTTCCATGCTTTCTGACTGATGAATACACAATGCCATTTAGAAATTGGTCAAACGTAACATATGTTGCATTATGGATTATGCTTTCTGATGACCCATGAAGATGCAGGTTAGAATTGGTCTTCAGCAACCCATGCTTTTCGTAAGTGGCAAGTAACAGGATTTTTGTGGTCAGACTCGCTGACATGTCATCGTATCCCAATTGCTTAGATCAGTGCTTATGCTGTTGATCACTGGACTGTCTGATCCACACTTGATTATTTACACACTGCTGCCATATAGCTGGAATATTGCTGAGTGCTAAACAACAAATCAAACCAACAACACTTTCTGGGTAAAGTACAGATTCTCGTACTTTTCTCTTTGGTTGCTGTGCTGGCAATAAGGAACCTCTCTCTGAGACTGTGGGTTTAAGTCCTGGATGCGACTCCACAAAACAAAGGTAGCACAATCTGTACTTTACTCAGAAAGTGAAATGTCAAATATAACAAATGTACTTTCTGACCTACTTTTCCAAACTTACGGATAAGACTTATTAAGAGTTTAAAAACCAACCCTGCTTGCCTTAATTAAAGAGAACAACTAAACCACACAAACAATAAACATGAACTCACACTATTCTGTTGTTGTTGAAGAGTAATGACTTGAGTCGTCGAAGCAGCGGGAACCCATCCAGCTTTCTAATGTCATTGTCAGAAAAGTCTATTGTGTCAAACTGGTCCTGCACAAAAAAGTCAAACATTGTTTATTGTCTAGATAAAAAAGCAGGGTATCAACTGACTATAATGACCAAAAAACATTAAGAGCTAATACTTTGAATAAATGACAAAAACAAAATTTATATGAAAACAAATAATAACAAGTGTTTGCCACTGGTATGGCAATGTCCCCCACCGCTAAAGAATGGAATATCTATATTTACTACTTTTTATTTTTTGGTCACATACAAGATGCCTGAAATGACTGGTGTCTGCATAATCACCCACTGTAGGCTGTCAACATACTTGAAAACATTGGGTGCAATGTTTTATGAGATATCGTGTTTAATAAGTTTGAAAAGCGTGCAAAGTGTCGTGGTGACCTTGAAGATGTGGTGACAGTCCAGGAGATATCGTGTTAACAAGAGTTAAAAGCGTGCAAAGTGTCGTGGTGACCTTGAAGATAAGGTCAAGGTCACCAAAATAAACTAGTGTCTGCATAATCCCCCAATGTAGGCTGTCACCAAATTTGAAGACATTGAGTACAACAGTCCATGAGATGTCGCATTAAGAAGAGTTTGAAAAGTGTTCAAAGTGTCATGGTGACCTTGAAAATAAGGTCAAGGTCACCCAAATCGACTGATGTCTGCGTAATTACCTAATGTAGGCTGTCACCAAATTTGAAGATATTGGATACTACAGTGCATGAGATACAGTACAACCAGAAATTATTGAGAATTTAAAGATTGTAATTTTTTTTTTTTCACTCATTACTCATGTATTAAATGTGAATATTAGCAGAACATAACTCCAGATTCAAAGACAGGTGAACAGTTAATATTTTGTCAAGTCACCATGGGCAGCAATGCAGGCTTCAATGCGGAGGGGCATACTAAGAAGTTAAAAAGTCAGGGTCCATGCTGTCCCAATATCGGACCACCTCTTCCTTCATTTCAGCAATATTTGTCAGATTTTTCTTATTGACACTTTCCTTCATAAGTCCCCAAACATTTTCTATTGGATTTAGGTCAGGGCTATAGCTTGGCCAGTCTAAAAATGTCAGATTTTGGGTCCGAAACCCGGCCTGTGAATGCTTTGAACGATGTTTTGGGTCGTTGTCCTGCTGGAAAATCCAAACATTTCCATAGAACATGTGAGCAGATGGAAGAAAATGTCCCTCGAGAATATCCATGTACCGCTCACTGTTCATATTCCCTTCAAATACACAGAGGGGCGTTGCCCCTAACACAGATATGCCACCCCACACGTTAAATTTCGGACTGTACTTTGGGCGCTGATACAGAGGTTTTTCAGTTTGTTTGGTCCAGAATTTCAGTGTATTAGGAAACAGCCACACAGAACTTTCATCTGAGAAAATCACATTGTCCCAGTTAAAATTTCAATGCTGTAAGCACCAGTTCAACCTTCTTGTTCAACAAGAATACAAAGCCGCCTCCTGTCACTGACAGTCAATTTTCTGGGCCTACCTGCACCTCCCTGTTGCTAAATGCCATATCCATTTGCAATATTTTTCAAAACACGATAAACAGTGGACAAAGGGATGCCTGTTCTACTTGAAATCACTTTAGCTGATCTGATGTCCTTGTTATAATACTCTAAAATCAACTTCCTCTTCTCTAAATCATCCATACTGAGGATCACTGAAAATGTCGTCTGCTAGCAAGTAAACAAAGGGGGATAACTCTTCACAAACTAATGAAAAAGGATTAACGGAGTTGTCTCTCTTGAATGAAACCAAGCACTTGATAGCTGGTCAATGTTGTTTATACTAGAAATCCAATTAAAGGTCACATGCAACTAAAAAATCAAACATAATTAAAACACAATTATCACTTCTCCATGACATATAATATGCATTGCTGATTATGAAAAAACAAATATGTAATTTTTTGAGTAAAATTGATATTTTATACTTATCCTGACTCATGCTCTTTTGCTTGTCCCCTTCCTCTTGCGAACATAGTGGAACACTTGTATCTCCTTAATTGAAGCTCCCTTCAATGTAAAATCACTAATTGGTACTCACCCAAGAGTTGCCTCCCCTGCCCTAAGCGCGGGAACAGGTGTCGCCACCCTCTGGCCTCATGCTTCACTCTCTCCTGATTTAGCGAGCCCAACACTTGAATTTACAGGGAAATCCAAAGTGTTATGTGGGGAGGATGGGAGGGCTAACCTCATGAGTCAGGATAAGTATAAAATATCAATTTTACTCAAAAATTACATATTTTTCCTTATCCTGACTCATGCTCTTTTGCTTGTAGAATCCTCCGGAGTGGAGGTGGGCATAAACAGAATACTTTGGATTTATAATTAGTGATTTAAATAACTTATACTGTAATAATTTCATGGAACTTCATAAAGGCATTGACTTAGGATATTTCCTCTATAATAAGCCATAGGTTATATATTACCATAACTGGGGTATTACATTACTCATATACTGATATACCAAATTATATAAATAGATATAAAAGCGACTCTGATAGAGAAGCTGTACAACTGAACATAAAACTCAGTATGAGCTTAAGGTTGAATAACCTAAGTTTAAATATATACATAGCCCTAGAACTCCGTGGAGTTATAAGCTAAATAATGTATGTATAATATACATAATAATCTCGTGGGGGTGAATATTAACGCCTATGAGGGACTGTCAGTTGCTGAGCGAGGACCAAAGGACCGAAATGGTGAATGCCAGAGACGTCCTCGGTGGTGATATCTCTCAGATAGTGATTAGCAAACACCATGTTAGATTTCCAGAAGCATCCTTCCATAATTGTATTCAATGAACAGTTACCGTGAAGGGCGAGGGTGGAAGCCAATGCCCTGATTTCATGGGGATTTGATGCTGTTGGAGGGTCCAGTCCTGCTGCCTTGTAGAAGGCGTAGAATGACAGTCCTTATCCATATAGATATGGTGGTACGAGAGACTTCTGTCTGATTGATTAGTAGGCTTATAACGGGATGAACAATCTTCTGAGCGATCTTAAGCCTTGTTTTGGAACGACGTAAATAGATTTTGAGAGCTCGTACTGGGCATAGCGATAAGTCCAATGTATCTTGAGATCCGAGAATCGAGGATAGTGCAGGGATGTGAAATAACCTGTCTGGTTGGCCTGGTAGTTGATTTTTGGCGATGAAATCCCATCTTAATCCCAGGTGCGCTGTGTTTTGATTGTCATCAAACTGTATCCTCTCATAATCTAGAGTGTGAATTTCAGATATTCTGGCTGCCGTGGCTAGCGATAACAGGAAAATTGTTTTCTGTGAGAGAAATTCAAAGGTTGTCGATTCCAATGGTTCATAATCCTCACTTGTGAGGTGTTGTAGCACTACATTCAGATCCCAAGCTGGGCGTGGAACTTCCGCTTTGGTCCTCCAATCGAAAGCACGTAGTAAGGCCAGTAACTCTGGTGTTTTGTCAATTTAACACCCGTTCTCATAGAAATCACAGAACTAAGCTGCAAGATATGTGGACAATGTCGAGCCTTTTAAATGTTTGTTTTGCCGTAAGTAACACAAATAGTCTGCCACTTGAGGATGCGTAGCATCTCTCGCTGTAAAACCCTTGTTTGCTGTGTAATTTTCGAAACTGTGCCACTTGTCGTCGTAGAAGTTATGAGTTGAGTATCGTAAGGCAAGCGTGACCGCTTTGCCGCCCTGGTAGAATATCCTCTCTTGTTTAAACACATTTTAATACAGTCCATACATTGAAGTTTGAATACTTCTGGGTTTCTGTGCACCTGTTTGGTGTGTGGATGTATTAACAGCTTTGAGCGCTTGGGTAGCTCTAGTGCCGGGTTGACCGATTTCTTGTATTAGAATGGGAAACCACGTTCTGGCCCGGCCAGTAGGGTGACCAAAATGAGTTGTAGGCTCTGTGTTTGACTGATTTTCTGTAATACTTGAGGTATTATTGCTGGGGCTGAAACGCGTACGCATTGAGGCCTTCCCATGATATGCTTAGAGCGCCCTTTGCCCATGCTTGTGGGTCTGGAACTGGTGACACCGAATGTCGGTAGTTGATTGTTGAATCTTGTGGCTTAATAGATCTACTAGCTAGCTCCTATTTGCTTGATTATCTGTGCAAATATCTCTGTATTGAGCATCCATTCTGTCGGGCGACGGTAGATGTGTCCGAGAGAGCGCGCCTGCTAGTATATTCCTGGCTCGGGAATGTGGCATGCTTTGACATGTAGATTTAGATCTTGGATTAATTGAACAGTTGAAAGGTTAAAGTCAAAAGGTTCGGGCGATCTCGCGTTGAGCCTTGCCTGTTCACATAGAACGCCACTGTCGAGTTGTCGGTATGTATCATTAGGTGCGCATTCTGTAGAATGTTGCTCCAATGTCTTATGGCGTTGATTACAGCTTTCATCTCTAATGAGTTTATGTGGAGCTTGCTTTCTAGCTGATTCCATAACCCTGATGCCGTCCGGTTGGTGAGATGAGCTCCCCAACCTTGGAGCGACGCGTCTACATATAGATGGGTTTTGAATTCCTGCTCTGCTAAACGAATCCCTTCACAGACATTCGATTCCTTGGTCCACCATAGTAGATGAGGTCTGAGATGTTTCGGTAGACTGAATGGTTGTAGGTCATCGAGATGTGTGTTGATGAAGACCTGTAAGGGACGTAACTGTAATCTGCCTCTGACTGTCAAGTCTTGGGCTGATGTTAGAAGACCTAGTAAGCTCTGCCATTGTCGAAGTGGTAGCGGAGAGAGTAGGGCTGGTGGAATGATCTGCTGGATCTTGAGCCAACGGTCTTCTGGTACGACTATACGGTTGAGATTGGTGATAAATCGAATGCCTAGGAATTGCAGATCTTGCGATGGTACTAGGTCCGACTTGAGTAAGTTTACTAACCATCCCAGCTGTGTTAGTAGCTTTATGATGTAGTTTAACTGTAGTTTGAGATGCTGTGGATCTTGATCAACTTGTATCCCGTCGTCGAGGAAGAACGCACTGCGTAGCCCTTGACGATGTAGATAGGTAACAAT